ATTAATATTATACATATGTTTTAAGCTCTTACATTCAAAATCTGATGCATCATATATTTGCTCTCCTCTCTTTTTTTTTGGGTTACTATAGTGATATAAAATCATATTCATACAAATTTTCTTTTTTGTCTTTTGAATATGTATTTGTCTAATAGTTTGTATTCCTAAAAAAAAAAAGATAAAGAAGAAGAAAAAAAACTGGTAAATAAGATGTTACAAAAGTCTAAAAGAAGAAGCTAAAGACATGAAAATCAATAAAAAAACAAGAAGAAGAAGATTGATAACAGAAAATGATGAAGAAGAACAAGATGAATTAAGAAGAAAAACCTGAATAAATAGAAGGAGAAGACGAAGACATGAGCATAAGATTAAATAAGGTATGAGGAGATGAATAAGAGAAATATGAGAAGATGAGAAAAAATAAATAATAGAAAATAAAGAGGAAGACGAAATTGATAAATAAGATGTTGAAAAAAAAGAACAAGATTGATAATACAAAATGATGAAGAATACACTATGAAATAAGAAGAAAAACTGAATTATAATAAGGAAAAGACGAAGACAGAAAAAACGAAAGAAACAAAACAAAAGAAGAAAAGAATGAAGAATGTGTGAACAACAAAGAAATTGGAAAAATTAAAAGATAAAAAATGAAGAATAAGAACACAAAGCCAATTGAAAAACAAATTGAAAATAAAAGGAAGAAAACAAATAAAAACCAGGAAATAAAATGAACGATGAAGAGAGAGGAAAATAAAAAGAGAATAGAAAGTTTGATAAGAATAATAAAAAATGGTAGAAAATGAAAGAAGTGAAAGACGAAGTAAAAGAAGAAGATAATATGGGGTTGGGTTTACGATGGACAGTTTATTTCGATTGGCGTAAGGTTTAGTCTTTGATGCATTTTAAAAATTCTGAATACACTACATTACCGATTAAAAAAACTGTTAAGAAAAAAAAATAAAAATAAAAGCAAATCTATAACCAATTTGTAAAACGTGGGGTTTGGATGTGCGGTTTGGGGAGGGGGTATAACGTGGGATTCAGGTTTAGGGTGTAGGGTGGGGGAGGGGTGTTACGTTGTATGGTTTGGGTTTAGGATGTAGGGTTGTTTAAGAAGGGGGGGGGGGGGGGGGTGCTACACTGTGGGGTGTGGGTTTTAAAGAAGAAAAAATGATATGTGAAGAAAAAAAGATAAGGAAGAGATAAAAAAACTAGAATAATATGATGTTAGAGAAGAAGAAGATGATAAAAGATGGAGAGAGGGGGAATAAAAAGGAAGAAAAATCGAAAAAAGAATATAAAGAAAATTAGAAAGAAAAAAAAGAATAGAGAGCTGGAAGATATGAAGATATAAGAAAAGATTGAAGAACAAAAATTGGAAGAAGAAGAATAAAAAATGATGAAAACAAATATAAATTGAAAGAAAAATAATAAAGTGAGATAATTGGAGAAGAATAAAAGATAGCAAAATAGGAAGTGAGAAATATTTTCTATTTCTCTAAACGAATAAAGAAGATTAAATAGAACAACAAGAAAGAGAAGACAACAAAATACACATCGAAATTACAAAAATAAGAAGTTGGCGAAAAAAAAATATATATAATCAAATTTTTTACTATTTATATTATTAAAATCTTTAATGAATTAATGTATTTAAAAAAATATTTTACCCGCACAAGGTGCGGGACAACCACCTTGTAAAAAAGAAATAGTAGATTTCCTATTCAAAAGGAACAAAATATTTACAACTTGACTGGATGAGACTGTTATTAATTTTTTACTTTTAAATTTTATAGACTGTTAAAAACTTGACTGGAGTACATGTTATTAATAAAAATGACAAAATAAATTAAAACTGATTAACACTAAGTTCGGGTATACTAAAAAAAGTTAAGTCTTACAAACTGATATGTGAAATGTAATATTGGGCCAATAGTCACTACTATAATAGAATTTATATACAGTATGCATAATGGCATAATGCATTGTAGATTACGATATTTAAAAAAAAACTCAACAGTAACTTACTGAAGCAATATTTTCGATTTGTGTTAACTAATTTTGGGACAATATAATGGATGATAGATTAAAGCTTATATGATGGAAATACAGTATAAACTCTATAAATTAATAATGTCGGGACTTTGATATTTTATTAATTTATAGAGTTATTAATATATAGATTTTGACCAAACATGTTTTTTTCAAAAAAATAAAATTCAATAATAAGAATCTTTTAAGTTTTCCTTCAAATGAAATAAGAATTTTCCTTTATACATATATTTTCTTAAATTTTTTCTTTAATTATTTCTATATTTACTTTATTGTTTACATTTTCTCATACTGCTACATTGTTTTAAATTTCCTTTTTTCCTTTTATTTTTTATGTGTGAGAAATTCATATTTTAGTAGGTAGATATCTAGATAAAAAAATATATATATAGAAATAATTTTTATATGATAATTATTAATTTATGATATTATTGGGACCATATTTTACATAGGAGTTTAAAAAAAGTTATTATCTTATTATCTTATCGAATTGTGTCATATTTTACACTGGCCCAACTTGGGACCGGAGAAATTTATTAATTTATCGTGTTTATTAATTTATCGAGTATTAATTTATAGAGTTTCTACTGTAGAAGTAAAAATGTAGGTGTTAAACCGAACACACAAACATTTAAAAAATGTCAAAAGTTTGTTTTTATTTGTGTTGTTCACAGTTGAAATTATCTTATAAATATATAGATAGCCACATAAAAATATAGACATTCTTAAAATATTTTATGAAAACGTATACTACATTCATAACTAAAAATATTTTCACATAGCCATATCATAATATAACATAACATAAGCATAATTAGACAACTAAATAAATTGTCATAAAATTATGTAGAAATATATAGACAACTACATAACCATATAGATAATCATAGAAAATAATATCAAATATACACATATATTGACAACCAAATATATTGTTATATAGATATGTATACAAACATATCAAAATATATCAAAACATATACATTCATATACAATTAAAAACATTGCAATATACATATGTAAACAACCATATCAACATAGAGGAAATCATTTATATGATACAATTTATATGTAGCAAGTTATGAGAAAAATTTGTTATCTAGTTGTACCAGAGTCCAGAGCCAAACACTGGCAGTATTTAGGATTTCTCAACAAATACTCTAACGGGAATCCGAGCAATCACATTTTCGCCGTGGAATTCGATACGGTACATGGATTCAAATACAATCGCTTCACATCAGTTACGTACACATTAGTCTAATGTTGAGCAAAAAATATAAAAGATAAGTAGGTCAAAGTAAAGGAGGATATTCTTAAACTCAGCCTGATAGTCTGCGTTTGTTAAAATCATGTTTGAGCAATAACATTAATTTATTTAACATCGTCCTAGTACATATGATGCTCGCATGAAAAAAAATCCTATTATTTTACAAATTATGATATCTACCTTACATGTCTATTTTCTCTACAACTGACTCCACCCTATCAAAAATTCTGGACTAGATAACATGGCGAGATACTACCATATCTATTACGTAACCGCGCTATGAATTGGTATAAACTTTGTATAATACAACCCGAATGATTTTCAAGACATCAGTTTATGTTGTTGTATAATCTCAAGTCAAAACAGTTACTTTCTGCACCACTTTGAAAGTCCGATATGAAAACTGAGTTATGTCACATGTTTCAGATTGACTACTTCCTTATTTTACAGATAACCGCTTTCTTCTTTGCACATCTTCATACTCTTGCTCACCAAAGATTGTCATATGCTTCACCAGCTCGAATGACCTGAAATTTACCAACTCCGAATAGTGAAGTTGCATCCAAACTCTTTTATTTGTGTTCATTAAAAACTTAAATGTACAACTACAACACATGAATTGGCCTTATTTCTAGTCAATGTTATTTAAATAACATGAACTCATGAAGAGGTCTCTCAGTGGCCCAATAGATCAGATCATTTAAAAATTAAAACCCAACTAAAAGTTATTTTCTCAATTCTTTATTTTCAGATACCAAAATATCTTAATATTAATATTTTGTTTTCATGTATACATTTCTTGCTCTTTAGGCAATTTAGGATTTTTTCACATAATTAAATACTTGAAACTCACAGATAGAGCTTTTCCAAAATTTGGTTTTACTCAATTGAAATCAATCTATTCAAGCCATATATTATCCAAGCAACATCCACAGCAGAATCTGGCAAGTCCATGATGCAACTGAAAAACAAAAACAACAAAAATTACAGATAGCTTTTACAAATTCATGCATGTAATAGTGATGACTGATGAACAGTTGATTCTTATCCATATCTTGTATAGTACTATATATAGCTGTATGTGTATTATGAGTTTGTCGAATAAATTTGTGACGTGGCTTGCTCTTGTTTACTGGAAGTTGATGAATAATCTCTTAACGTTGTACCATCGATCTCCATGAAATTTAACAAATGAAAGGTCGAATGATCACGAGAAATCTCATCTTCATATACTTTTAACTTTAAAGCTACTGATAATGAATAAATTGACCTATCTACTTTATTTTAACATACGCTTTATATTCTTTCAAATAAGGTGATAGTCCATGACTTCATGTTATTTTACATACAGTAATACGTTAAATCTTATCTTCTGAGATAAAATTCCTAATATCATAGCAAAATTGATTATGTTGCTTCAAAAGTGGAGCGAGACTCTTTTTAGCAAAAACAAATAAAAAACAATAGAGGGGACATTTCATATTTCCAGAACTAGCCCAACGTTAGAAAAAGCTAGATGCACAGTAAAAAAAAAACAAATTAATTCTTATGTAAGCTTTTGATTTGAAGGTATTAAAAAATAACGAGAAGATAACACTTTTCCACAGGAAAAGGAGAAAAACAAAAAGAAGAGTTCCGTATAGAGTAAGAATAAAAATAACAAATTAATAAAACCACGTCAGGAAATATCCGGTCGGCTCATTCTTGGTAATACGTGAACCGAAACCGGTTCAAGTCCTTCAGGGATCTCCACGGTCCAAATCTTCGCCGGCTCCGCCACAACATCCACCACGACAATTCTTCCGTCACCGGTAATGACACAAAGTTTTCCGGCGACTGCTGTAACTTGCCGAGCTACTTTAAGCATCTCCTCTCCATTTTCCACCACCGTAACTTCTCTCCACTCTCTCTTCTCCTCGTCGTATTTTCTGACTGTTCCTTTCGTCTCATCCACCGAGTAAAGCGAATCCTCCTCCATCGCCGTCACCGGTCCTCTCCACCCAACCAGCATCTCCTCCGGCATCGATTCCCAGTCGTCCGTAACGACGTCGTATATGGCTCCTTCTTTAATCGCGTCGCCTTTTACATTCACCATTAGAAGCTTCTTTCTCCATCCAACTGCGTCTATGGCTTCCCGGCTAAACCGTATGTCTCTCATCTCTCTCAATTTCTCCCAATTACTCCGATTACGATCCTTGAGATCCAGTTTCTCGATTGATTTCGCGACGGTTGACGAGAATTGCGAACCCATCCCACTCGCCATGTAGATCACTCCGCCGCAAGCTCCGGTAGCACACCACCGTCTCGGAGATCCAATTGGTGGACCGGAGGTCCAGGTAGCTGAGACCGGATCAAAAATTAGAGGGTGAGAGATGGCCGGAGAGAGTTCTTGGTTACTTCCGGCGATGAGAACGAGTTTTCCGGCGACGGAGACGCACTGGATCGGTAAATTAAAGGAAATATACGACGGATGACGGTATACAATCCGGTGAAGAGGTGGGTCGGGTGGAGGTGGAGGAAGCGGATCCCATTTCGAAGAAACCGGGTCGAAACACATAAACCGGATAGACGGGTTGACCCGGCCGTGACCCGGAGCCGGATCCAAACTTGAATCGACGAAAAGCGCGTAGAGAGACGTAAACGGAGGGAACTCCGGAGAGTAGAGGAGATGGCGCCACCGTGTACAAACGGCGGCGAGTAGCGACGGCCGGGAGACGAGGGAAAGGCAGATCTCTGATATGTGATCGGGAAGTCCTTCGATTAAGGCGTCTGTTTTTCTTCTCTTCGCCGACGGTAATTCCGCGGCGGCGGCAGCCATTGATCCTGACCGTTTCAGTTGCTTATTCTCTCTCTCATTTTCTTTTTGGCTGATTTTCATATTTTTTATTTTCTTCATTTGGATTTAATAAATGAGATAAATCATAAATAAAAGAGGCGTGAACTGTATAATGAATGGGAGGGAAAAAGTTATGTAGAGCCATATATCAAAATCGAAAAGGCCAAAGTTGGAAACTGTTAACATCTCAATAATAAATACATAAAGCTATAACTCGAAAATATTATTACTACATTAATAGCATTCATGTATATGATAAGAATCAAGTGGGTATTAAAGATAAGTTATGGTGTACTTTATTAGTATAAGATTAACAATCTTCAAGTTCCAACTTTTTCATTGCTTGTTTTTCTGTTTTGTAACTTTCTTATTATCCTGGAAGTGTATATATTACGTTTAATTTATTTGGATAAATTGATCAAGTATCATTTTCATCCTTGTGCCATGTGTTTAAAGATCCATGTTAATACTATGTTTACAAACATTTTTTGGGTAATTTTGTAGTTGATTCATTGATAATTATAACAAGGTCCAAAATCTCCTTTTAATAGATTCTTATTCTATTATTTTCTCTTTTGGAAGAGAAAAAAAGTGACAAATACAGCAATTTGGTACGTTCGCTCCTGGAGGTATGTGTAATTCAGATTCAGTCTTCTTTTACCAATCTCTCAATAATGGATATGCTTTGAATTTTAATGTGCATCAACTGTTTTCTTTATCTGGAATGATAAGACAGAGTTAGTTTGATAGATATGAGATGCTAAAGAATAATGCTTTCATACGCTTATATCTGATCAAGTCTATTTTTTATCTAATTTTTTTTTGTAGTTACATCTTGCGTACATGAGTTAGTTTACACATAACAGAAAGCAGAGATCATTTGGAGAACAAAATTTGCCAAAACCTATATGAAGATTCAAAATATCAAATCTGAATGAAAATGCGCAATATATAGATCACGACAATTTTAGCTATTGTCAAGATCATTATCTCCAAAAACCAAAAATACAAAAAAAATAATAATAAAAATAAAACTAAAATAATTTATTCCCTCAACAAGTTTATGAACCTGTGATTATGCTAATACCAATTGACTAAAAGTTAAATAGTTGACTACCCCAACTTCTAGAGATCTGGTGTGTGGCACATTTACATTACAAAACAGTAACTTAAACAAGTAGACTAGCTGAAGAACTGAAAGTGGATAATCGTGGATAAGATGTAATTTCCATAAAATGTAGATTTATTTATAACGAAATGTTTTGCGAAATAGAACATTACCAAAACCATCATAACACGAGTTACAGAACTTACGGTGATCACACAATTAGGTATAAACATGCAATAACGATCCTTTCTAAAAAAATTTTTTTTACTGTTGGAATTCTATTGATAGACTCATCGGATGTTTTTTTTTTTCGTTTTCTTCATTTCTTGGAACTAGTTTTCACGTCGTGTCTGGCGTTATTTGCAAAAACTCTTTAAAAACTACTTTCTAGTTTCTTCAACATAATACTCCAGTTCATAGTGACTCATACAATCCATCATTTTATCGGCATAAAGTGATAAACTGGACAAATTTTGTTGGTTCACCTGTGACTATATATTATTTTCTTTTTAAAGATAATTGTCAATTTTAGTTGGTCTCTGTAATAAAAAGGCCTCGGTCACCGCCAGCAGGTGAACATGCACGTTGTTTGCGTGAATAACCTGGCGACATTCTTATCAATAGTCTTCGCCAACTGCAACAGTAAGAGCTCTTTGCCTCTTTTCCCCATGTTTTCTTCTGTTACGTTCTCTCCATAGAGTGTATATCATCGCCTGGAATGCATAACGTAGGTTAGTTATTTTGTTCGATCCTTAAGGTCCTTAAGGACGCCAACGATCGAGAAATTTCCATTATGTGTTGAAAGCTCTGCCTAGAATGCCTTTGGTTGAAATCTCCCAGACCTGAGCAGAGCAGGGACATGCCAAAAAAGTGATATTTGGTCTCCATTGGGTGATGGCATAAGACACAAGATGTATCGATATTTTGGGGGGGGAATTTTCAAAACTAATTTTCAAAAATATATCTCTATGTTGTTTATTTTTAAAATTACATTTTTTTCATTGAGTAAAAGGATTCTAAATCCTAAAATATAAACCAAAACCCTAAAATATAACATTGAACCCCTAAATCTAAACCTTAAACCGCAAAATCTAAATCCTAATTTAGGATTAGTGAACCCAGACATATATATTAAAATTAGGAAAAATGTATTTTTGAAAATTTACACACTATATGTGTAGTTTTGAAAATTTGTACCTCAAAAGATCAAAAGATGCATTTCTTAAAATTTCTCATATTTTGGCCCGTGGTTAAGGGATTATGCCTTGCTGTCCATAAGAGAAATGCATATTTTGGAGGGGCGTGAGTAAACCAGACAATCTTGTCCGACTTCTATTTTTACTTTATAACTTTAACTAGATTTATCAATCAATAAACAATAAAAACATAATTTGCTTCTCAGGCTCAAAAGCATTAAGGTCGAGTTCTATTCATCTAACGATTCTGAGAGTTATTCAAAATAATTCGACCTTTCAACCTATCTTGAACTATCACTCGACTAAACTATCACATTGTCAAAAATAATAATATATAAGGCCACGAATTCTTCATATTACCTAGAATCTCGGACATTGGAATGAGATTTAACGTGTAAATTAGATTTTGTGGTCCTCCTTTGACATCAGAATGGCAAGCTGCTAATATCCGTTGACCGATTAAAATATTCCAAATTAAGGGGAATCATATAAATTTTTATTGTTAATTAGTGAGAAATACATAAGATTCCGTTTTTGTTGAACTACGATTTACATCTTTAACAGAAAAAAAACCTACGATATGCGTATGCAATATTACAGCGAGACATGCAATGTATCTGGATGTATCCCAATTATCTTTAGTTTATTTATTCAGGGAACAAAGGTTCTGGTGAAGTTTGTAAGCATTAAATGTAGAAAGCTGCTCCTTTCATGGAACAGCACGTATTTATTTATATAAAAATATTATTGATTCAATAAAGATTGGTGTCAGTGACAAAGACAAAAGAGTGTCGTCGTCTTTCTCATTTATTATTATCATCCAATTGAGTGGCTCTAAATTAAATTGCTTCTCTGTCGTCGTCTCTTGACTCTTGCCCTTAACTAATCTCTCTTCTTTTCTAGAAAAAAACTTTTTTTTGTTTGTATTTTAGGTAGATATTTTTTTCGTTTTCTTTCTCTCTACGACAAAACTTTTAATCAGAAGAGAAATCTAGAAACAAAAAAAAATCACACGTACATAAACTTATCACATTATTAGTCAACCAGCAGTTCTTTTTTTTTAAATCGTGCTTATCAAAACATATAGTATGAGAAAATATGATAGTAACAAATTAGTTACCTGTTGACTTTATAAAAGCGATATCCGGCTTTGATCTTTAAGAACATTATTTGAATATTGAATACTTTTTACTTTATTTGAGAGGATGTTATTAAATGGTTGAACTTCATGCATTTTGCTCGCATGTCAAAGTCTACGTACAGCGTGTTGACTACAAAAGGAAATGTCTAAAAACCGTGTCTAAATTATTTGAGAATTCGCTATATGTTTACACTCTCGTGTTTCGATGTTGGAGTTCATAACTATGTTGAAACTTGGTTACTAATAAGTCGATTTTGTTGCAGTGGCTAAAAATCAATCTTTGGATTAACCAAACGTATATCCGGTTAAGTTGCTTATGCACTGTATACTCTTCGATTCACTGACTTAGATCAACACATGAAATCCTTCATATACTTTTAAGTTTATATATAGTATCAAAACCAGGTTTGGAAAATCCAGTCTCAATAAGTTTATTACAGCTCATTAAGGAAATGTATAACTGCAATCAATAGTTTGTCACAACCGTCATAAACATTAGGAAAATGTTTTTTTTTTGATAAAGTACATTAGGAAAATGTTACGTATTGACTATATGATTATTAAAATAAAGTCGTTACGTTTTGGGCCGTGTAAGTGCATAAGTGGTGTTATATTCAAAGGGATTAACGTGTGGAGGAGAGACGGAGATGTATACCTTCATGCATGCCCGCCATGTAATAGCGATATGACATACACATTGAATCGTGCAACACGAAGAAAAGGTTTCCTAATTAGTTGTTACAGATATTCGGGTTTTTTGTGTGTGCAACAACTGATTTTATAAACTTAGCTAACAATACAATATTTAATAAACTTATAAACTTAGCTAACAATACAATATTTATCTTGCTCGGTCTTTTTATTCCTTCGTTTTGCTCTTCCCAATCTACAAAGGTTTTTTGTTCCATTTTTAGACTTCTATAATTTTCTCTGTATTAAATTGTTCACGCAAATTGTTAACACGTGTTTGGTGAATTAAAAAAAAAAACTACTAGTATTAGAATCTGTGTGCAAAGCTTCGCTGTTAGTTTCAACTAGTCGAAGATAAGTTTCGGTTTGATTCATTTGATTCAAAGGGAAGAATGATGACACAAGAGATGACGTAATTGGCAAAAAGGTAGGTTTGTCGTGTAGTGATGTTTAAATGAGAGGCAAGGGATTGATTAGCGATTCGGTATGGCTCAAAGCTTTTTGTTCGGTCCCAACATGTTTTTTTCAATTTTAAAACTATATGTAAGTAAAATAATTCAAGTGTCTCTCGCCTCTATTATTTTCTCTCGTTTTTAATTGTTCTTTCTTTCAAATTACTTTTGAACATCACAAAATAAAAAGAATGTGGAACTACAAAATTCATCAAAAAAAAGGAAAACGTTCATATGCTAGGACTCAAGTACTGAGAGATTAAATTCCGTACAAAGTCTCAGGTGATGCGACAAGATAAATCATCAAAATCAAGTAATTTTCCATTATTCTTACATGAAATATGTGTGTTTTTTTTTTGTTTAGTATTGAAAATTATATCATGATTACAATATTTGAGTTAAGCTTTTTGTGTGTGACACATATAGCTTTTCGGATTTTTTTTTGTAAATGTGGTCTTCGGACATATCCCTCCAGGCTCCAGTTCACTTTGACCTCACTCCTCTTCTTCTTTTTTTTAAAAAGGATTTATAATTTATATAGTACATTACATAATTTCATAACATATCTTTATACTTTTGATGATTATTGCTCCAACATTCAATAATCTTGTACGCAAGGCCCCAACATTCAATGAGTACTTTTTTCTTTGCTAACAGAAACACTTTTTTTTTTCTTTTCCACGCGTACTCGTTCTTATGCAGCTTTTTCATACCACTTATTTTTTTACTCTAAAATGACTCCCAATCAGATCCCAAAAATAATTTCTTCTTTAGTCACTTAAATTAACCGTAAATATTTTTAGTTGCATGCTCAAAAACATTTTATTGTAATGTTAAGTTTACAACTTAAAAATTAAAATAGATTAGTGTAAGACTATAAGTTGGCAGTTTTTGATAAAGAAACATGTTATGATAAATCGAGTCTACACTTGGCAGTTTTTTTTCTATTTCCCCTTGGCATCATTTCTTAAAGTGTAAAATAAGCATAAATAATGATGCCTTGGGCCCTTTACAAATTTTTTAATAAATACAAACAAATGATGCCTTGGTAAATCAGTCGATAAGAAGCCCATTAAGATAATTGTAGCACTCCTTTGTGTCCTTCTCTTAGTACTCCTTTGTGTCCTTCGCAGTCTTCATGCAAAATTTCTCCCCATGCTATATATTCAAATAAAACAAGATTACGCATAGCGATTCTAGTGAAATGGGATAAGGAAGAAGAGAGATCAATGAATACCTCTAACATAGTTACATGTAAGTGACAAACAATGGGTGTTAGGCTAACACTAAGTCTTTACTTTGGTTCAAGGATCTGGTTTGCCTGCAATTGCAACATCATCATCATCTTGATCGTCGTCAAAATCATATTCCTCTTCACTTAGTTCTTCATCGCTAGACTTATCTACTGAACCTTTTCCTGGTTTTGCATACTTCTCACAGTATTCTGAAAACCAAGAACCAAATCCAAACATTACACAAGCCCAATGACCCACTAAACTCCCTTAAAACATCGCTTAATCAACCCATTATGGAGACCGTAAACACCTAGAACCTATGGTTAAGTCTTGACATTCACCTTTTTGGTTAAGTAGAAACAAATGATCCTAAACTTTAACTTTATCTTCATCATGAGCTTTCTCACGAGAGAATCAAAGACGGGTTTATATAGTGTAATATCTCTTGTAGATCATTACATAATGTCCAAGATGTACTAAAAATCAGTACTCACACTAACTAAGCATAAGGTATATTCATTAGAACAAAGAAAAGCAAATGATTAAGAGGAACATTAAGCTTAAAACTGGTAATCACACTTTACGAAAAAGTTCAAGATACTCACAGTTCTTGGTATCCTAAAACCTTTGAACTCCCATCAAACGAAAGAAAAAGCTACAAGAAAGAAACTAGCAGTTTTTCAGAATTTCTTACTTAAACTCTTTAACACTTACAAATTAATTGATAACAAGCCCATTAGATAATTTTAGCTCATAATATAGGCCCAATATGGATCTATTTCACCTCTTGCTAATGAGCCATAATATAGGCCCAATATCCGACGATTCAGGAGAAGCTTCAAAACTCAAGCTAAAGAATATTGTTCAAGGTTAACACATGTACTCGTTTTGATTTTTTTTAAAAAATTTTCGTTTCGGTTTCTCAGGTTGCTTCTGGTATATATAACCTAGAACATCCTTGAAAGTCTCCATGATAATGCGTTTTATGTTTTAATATCGATTGAGGTTTTATGTTAATTCTCGAACTATGGACTAGTGTGTTTGATGCTTGACGAGATTGGGAACAGAAATAAGTCTAAGTGAAAGTTTTACTTGTGAAATCTTCTTGTTGATTGAAATTGTGAAGATGAGAACGTTTCAAGTCTACAAGGACAAAGAGATGAAACTAGAGTAAACATCAAACTCTATTCTGGTTAGGTTATTCTTTTGGGACCACAAGGAGAAAGACAGTCTGCCTTATCGTGAATTCAAAAGCCAAGGAAGTGTTTGTCCAAAACAGAACATCTAAAGGAGCCTTTATTCTATTTTTATCAAATCAAGCAACTTGTATCTTGGTGTGTTGGGGTTTAAGCTCTTAAAGAAAACGTTTTGAGCCTCTAAATCCTAAGAGAGATCGCTCTCCAGGTCAGATAAGTGCATCATGATAGGTCGTACGAAAGTATTTGAGTATTCATCTTTCAACGTCTTAGTTGCTTTGCAGGAGGCTCATTGTTGTATATTCTCAAACTAAAAGGTTTGTCACTTTTCTATTCTTGTGAATTTCACACTAACACCAACAAGATGCCATTTAAGACCCGACGACATACAAAGACATATGCGAATCTTAGATTTAAACGTAACTATCCTAGTTCATTAGCCACATATATACAACAATGCCATTTAAGACCCGACGTACAAAGAGATATGCGAATCTTAAATTAACCAATCCCAATTCATTGCCGACATACAGCTCATTGATTTAGACCCAACGTACATACCGATATGCGAATCTTATACCTAACCAGTCCCAATTCATGGCCGACGCACCGATTTAGACCCAACATACAAAGCGACAATCGGACAATGCGAGGACAATGACAACTTCCCACTGAAACTTAAAGTAAGCACGTGCTTACCAACATAGAAAGCTGACATGCAACAATAATGACAACTTTAATTAAAACACGTGCTTTAAGCCATATTATTTATACAGAATAGGAGGAGCACCTGAATCACACAACATATAAACCAAAAGAAGAAAGAGAAACTCAAAACCTTTTCCTTCTCATTTGAATCAATGGGGTCAAAGTTTCATGCTTTTCTGTACCCATTTTTTGGTTTTGGACATATGATTCCATATGTTCATCTAGCCAACAAACTAGCTGAGAAAGGTCACCTGGTAACTTTCTTGCTTCCCAAGAAAGCCAAGATACAACTCGAACCTCTCAGTCTGTTCCCGGACAGCATTGTCTTCGACCCTCTTACCTTCCTCATGTTGATGGTCTCCCTCTTGGCGCAGAGACAACCGCGGATATCCCAAACCCTTCCGGGAATTACATGTCCGATGCCATGGCACTCTTGCGCGGTGCATCGAAGCAAAGGTTCGTGCTTTGAAACCAGACGTCATTTTCTTCGATTTTGCTGACTGGGTTCCAGAGATGGCCAAAGAGTTTGGAGTCAAGAGTGTGAATTACCACATCGTAGCCGCAGTTTTGTTGCTATGGCTCTTGCTCCTGGCGCTGAAATAGGGATTAACCAACCACCGGGTTATCCTTCCTCGAAAATGGTGTTACGTGGGTACGACGCTACCCTCTGTTCTGACTCGCCATTTCCTGCGCAAGGATTCTTCGTGGGATCGCCAATAGTCTAAAGAAGTGCGATGTAATAGCCATAAGAACATGCGCAGAACTCGAGAGTGAATATATTGGTTTCATCGAAAGAGAATGTCAAAAAAAAGTTCACTTAAGCGGTCCACTGCTCCCTGACCTGGAAGAGAACATAGGTAAGACACTAGAAGATCGATGGAGTCATTGGTTGGATAAATTCAAACCAGGCTCGGTAGTGTTTTGTGCGTTTGGATCCCAAGTCTTTATGGAGAAGAAGCAATTCCAAGAACTTTGTTTAGGAATGGAGCTTACAGGTTTACCGTTTTTGGTAGCGGTTAAGCCGCCAAGAGGCTCGTCAACGACTCAAGAAGCCTTACCAGAGGGGTTCGAAGAGCGGGTTAAAGAGCGTGGGATCATCTGGGGAGAATGGTTGGACCAACCTTTGATATTGTCTCATCGATCAGTAGGTTGCTTTGTGAACCACTGTGGATTTGGTACAATGTGGGAGTCTTTGGTTAGGGATTCTCAGATTGTGCATATTCCGAATTTGGCTGATCAAGTTCTGACCACAAGATTGTGTGCTGAGGAACTCGAGGTCTCTGTGAAGGTGGAAAGAGAAGATTCCGGATGGTTTTCTAAAGAGAGTGTGAGAGATGCGGTCAAATCTGTGATGGACAAAGATAGTGAGATTGGGAATCTTGTGAGGAGGAATCATAAGAAACTGAGAGAGACTTTGCTTAGTCCTGGATTGTTGAGTGGTTATGCTGATAAGTTTGTTGAAACATTGGAGAATGAAGTCTAACAACACGAAATCGTCTTGAATGGAGTACTTATGCAACTTTCTAAAATAAAATATTTGTGTCAAGACTTATTTACATTTCTAATGTTTACTTCTAAATAAAATTTCAACTAGTTTTGAAAAGAAAAGTTATTGATTACATACTCTTACTTGGTAGAAGAAGTATGCCTCTCCCAAGCTTATGTGGACCATGTTTTTCTGTCACATATCAAACAATGAGAATTCAAAGTAATATGTAGAGATTAACTGTCCACATAACCTATGTTGGATTGGTCTTTCCAATTTTAACATCCGAAGTATACAAAGATTAGAGATAGAGTGGCTATACTTCCTCATTCAATTGAACAAAAAGAAAAGGCCAAGACTCTACAGAAGATATCAGAACTTATAAGCTTATTTTTTTTTGTCATGTAACTTTGTTTATTTTGCAAAACCTTTCAACTTCTTGTTTTTCCATCTATTGATTTCTAATTCTTTAAGGACTTAGCAATCATTAAGTTCAATACAGTTGAATAGAGTTTAATTCTTTATACAACGATGTAAATTGTTCAAACAAGAAGATGGGTACATTGAAATTTTAACAAATTCAAAGCTAGCATGATTTTGTAAAAGACTTTTGGTAAAATGGAGATAATATATAGAGCATCTTTTTTTTTGTATCCACAGCTTTTAAAACAATTTGGTCCCTCCATCCACTTTTCAACATTGGTCCCGGCAATGCTATGACAACATCCGTATAATCAAAGCCAACAGTCTTTTATTTTTATCGTGCGATTTTTTCTTTTCAGTCTATAAAATTTGCAGTGTTGACTATTATGGACATGACTGGTTTAAACGCTTCGGTTGTGGTTGCAGAAGTTTGCAATTGCGAGAGTTTGCGGAAGCGAAAGTTTTCTATCAAAAACGTAATTAAACTGTTTGTACAACTGGTATAGCAATTCATAGCGGTTGCGTTTACGGGATATTTTTGACTGCTTGACTACTAAAATAATCATAATATATAATTATGGGTTGTTTGAAAATAATTAAAATACCCTACATATGTTTAATTATTTGAAAAATACCATAAATTTTTTCTGTTTTGAAAAATACACTTTTTGCATGTAAAAAATTGTTTCAACCATATTTAACAAAATATTACTAAATAATTATTAATTAAAAAAAAATCGAAAATATTATTATGAATTGATATTATTTTATTTTGGTTCAGTTTTTTAAACTTTAGAATTTAAAAATTGATAAATGTAGAGAATTGTTTTAAATTTTGGAATCTTATATAAACAACTTTAGTATCACAGATAATCTATTATTCATAAACATTGACCATGATATAAACCCACAAAAATAAGAATACAAAATGTTTTAGCAGATAATTAGGAATAGAAATGTTCATTAGCTTAAAATGAAAAACTTCAAAATCAAATCATAATCTTTTGTTTTTATTATTAAAATTGATTTTATTAAATACTAGGAATCAAACCCCCGCGAAATCGCGGGGGCAAAGTATTATTACATATTAATCTTTAAACAAAAAATTCAAAAAAGAATCTGATGATATAAAAATATGAACTTGCCAAAAAAATATATTTAAATGTTATTTTTTTTTAACACTGAATTAATTGACTTATCTAATATACTAATCGAATATAATGTTAAAATTTTATTATAAATGTTTTTTTTTTAAAATGCAACGTTTTTATATATTTTCAGTTATTATTAATACAATTCCGCTGGATTTCTAGTTAGTATATACATATTTATTCGAAAAGAGATATATAACAAAATAATAGAGATCAGAACACTTAAGTGAATAAAGAATCTCATGATTAAAAGATTGCAACAAAATAAGTAATTTAGTTATGTTAAAATATTTTACTCAAAATGTTAAGACTTTGTTTTTTTTTTTTTTTATAATGGGCTTTAAAATATTAAGACTTAACAAATGATATTTTATAACAACGGTTAGGAACACATTCACCGAGTTAATACTTCCAAATTCCACCGGCAAAAACAACGTCACATGAATCACACACTCTACAGTGAGAGACATCACTGTTAAATTGTGAAAAAAGCGAAATAATAATACTGATGCCACTATATTTTTAATGTCTCTTTTGTTTCAATTTTAGTCTACTGAAATGAATTAACACTAATTGAAAGAGAAAATAGAAAAGGGAGATAAACAATATAGTAATAATCACTGAGATATTCATTGCTAGCAATATCCCCGGGAAAGCACCATTGGCATCGAAAATATGAGACGGAGTCACGGCCAAAGAAAACGAACCAAATGTGGTGTCTAATCTCAAATAAACCATCAACAACAACAAAATAAAGCAACATCGATAGAGCGAAACCGCATCGACCAGATCTACAGTTTTAAGAACATAGCGATGAAAGTACTTATGAGAAATATAGAGTTGAACAGTCACCAGTATTAAAACGAACACGTACATGCATAACAGAAAATGGTAATTGTGTAGATAAACGGTTATAAAGTCGGGAAACCGTTTATAACGAACAGGTACAAACTGTGAAAGGGATTTATTCAATTTAAGAAAAAAAGTGTTATACCTCTTTCATCCCCTATCAGCCATCAATGGTGTTTAAACGGTTGAAAACTACATCTTCTCCACATCTTCATCTTTATCATTTCTTTTATAACTTCTTCCTCCTAATCTTCTACATATCTATATATATCTATATGTATACGTACATTTTACACTGTTTCACTACATGTGCATGTCATCAAATATGTTTTTCTTTCTCCAAACCCGCAATATTCACCTTAAATATTCTAAAATGTTACATAAACTAATCGCACCATGCCCAGCCAAAGATAATCGAGGCTTGTTCATAGGATACTATGACCTCATGGCACCGTTTGAAATCATATATTTTTACGGTTATTATTATTATTATTTTTTTTTTTTTGGGTAAAAATGTAGATGCTCTTACGTTTGTTATTTATAATTGTATACCCACACAACAATACCATATACTGAAGCTAGTACTTTCACACTTACCTGGGTTTTGATAAACATCAGTACCATTCACGGAAAAATAGCACGAAGAATTCCGGCTTCACGTGGATAAATTTTCTTCTTACTACCTCCGATAAATCCCTTATACTCAGTAAGTATAGTTTTCACCCAATCTTACCTTTCAGACAATAACCCATCAATACACAATATCAGAAGTATGTAATGTTTGTATTAGGGACTCCTGTATGTCCAAATCGTCACAAAATTATACCTTTTAATTTTTCAAAATTAAGAAACTTAAGCACGTGAATGAGTTTGAGAAGATAACATTTTGTTATTTAGATGAGTTTACACACAGACGCTAAACAAACCATATATATTAATCAATTTAATCTCGAAGATAAGGTCACCACAACTTACTTAAATTATTCAATTATATTTTCTACTTTGCAAATGTATTAATCCTATTATCAACTCCCTACTTTGCAGTTTTACGAGACTTTAATTTACCGGATAACGTCTTTCATGCAAAGTCAAATTTTGACGATGTGACGTACTTTATATTCTCGTGGCTTAAGGGAAAACTCTGCCTTGGCCAGCATGATATCACGTACGTCTTTGCATGGGCTCTTATTTCTCAAACATTTATGTTAAACCGTTTTGTGTGATATGTTAATTACCAAGGTTTTGCATAGACACAGTAAAATGGCTGGTTTTGTAGTATTAATTTGCCTCTCACCTAACGGCTTTAGTTAAACATTCTCAAGCCTTCTTCATCTCTACTTTGGTTTCGAAACAAAAGCACAGTTTGTTATGGATGGCTAACCATCTAGAAAACATAGCAGAGTGCATTTATTTTTAGTCGAAAGAGTTTTATCAAAACAACAAGTTGGGTGGATATCTAAAAAAGTAAAAGAGCAGTTATAATTTATAATCGTGACGGCGAGAAACGACGATGCGAATAACAAATTTGGAGAAAAAGGATCCTAAATAATACAGCAATGATGAGAAAAAAATGGACAACAATTTTTTTCTAAAGTTATTTCAAAACTTACCGACTGTGCTGATTCTAAAATCAAAACTGAAGAATGAAAATATATACATTCACGAACTGCAGGGCAACCAAAAGGAAGAAACGTAATATTATAACCAAACATTTCACAATTAAACCGGCGCTTGTGGCCCGGTGGTAAAGGACCCTCAGCTGAGGTACCCGCCACCTGGGTTCGAGTTCCGGCCACAACGGATTTAACATCCCTTCCATTGGGGCGCTGGACCCCACTTGTGGGGATAGTCGGGAATGTGGCTGCCCGGATACCAGAGTTATCAAAAAAAAAAAAAACATTTCACAATTATACCAGACGTCACACATCTTCATCTCTTTCATCTTCTTCACCATATTCTAATCCTTTTTTTTTCTCTTGTAAAATTACATTATAGATAGTCTCAATCTAGGGTGAAAAATAGTGTGAATGTAGATAAAAAGAAGAACGATGAAGATGGTATGAATGTGGGGATAAAAATCAGGAACAACGGCAAATTGACGAAAGTGATTGCTTAGAAATAGCCACCAAAAAGAGAGATTTGAACTGCAAATTTGATTGGTGAAAAATCAATTGCTATGAGAATTCAGCAATTAACGATAAAGAGAATTTCAGAGAAAAATACATACCCAAGTAGATGAAATAAATTTTCAACCAAACAGATGAATGTGATTATAAAAAAATACAGTGATTTTTTTTTTTGTAACATCTGCTTATATTATATTAAACAGTAAACGGATAGTACAAATATTATAAAAAATACAGTGATTATGAGAGAAAAAGTACAAGCAAAATCAGAAAAAAGGTTGGAAAGATTCTATTTGAGGGATGAAAATGTATTAAACAATATATATAGAACTCAAAAGGCACCATTATCAAAAGTTGCAACTGTTTATAGCGAAAATGTGTGTCATAGAAAGACACAACTCTTTAGATGAGTGGTTACATCGAAACGGTTAAGAACAAAAAGGCACAA